GATGAGGGTCAAAGGATGTGACATCCTCTCTGGGCCTCAGCTCTGGTTCTCACCCTGCGATCAGGCCAGTTGAACTCCTCAAACACAGACTCAAAGTCCTCCATGGCTCCGTCTGTGATCAGCATGATGGCCTGGTTACACATGCTGCCCTGACCGTTCACCCTCGCCTGCACAGACAAACACACACAGTTTACAGAGAGTTTACTGCAGTCCACTTCATTTAAAACACAACGTAAGAACCAGCTATACTTTAGTCTCATTCAATTCAAGATTTGAGTCTAGAAAACCTGAATCTTATGATGTATTTTTAGAGTTAGTGATCACGGCCAAAGCGGGGACAGTTAAAGTGCTCTAGGACTCTGTTGACCCCAGGTTCACTGTGGTCCTGTTTAGATCTGATATTAACATGCATCTTGGGTGATCTCAGCACAAGTGGACAGCTCAGGCGTCACTCAGACCACGCTGTCTGATCTGCATTTTGTTTGTTTGTGCTCTTTTACCTGCAGCAGACGTTTGTGAACACACTCTGTTTCAACCGATGAAATAGTAACCGCAATATCCCCAGACTCCCTTTTAAAATCATGCAGTTTAGAGAGTTGCTGAGCCAGGAAAACTTTATAAACTTTGTGGAAAGATGTATACAACATATTCTTAATTATTTGGACATTCTTGTAAATCCGGCAAACGTTATTCACTGATTAATCCATTTAATTGTACAAAAAACATTGAGTCTGTTTTTCCCAGCGTGTTGGCTGAAGCAGAGACTCTCTGTGATGTGGGCAGGAAGCACTTTCTCTGACATTAATGTATTTATTTTGGTCATCTGTGATGTGAAAACATCGGATTTCCACTCAGTAACAAGTAAAAGTGTGTGTCCTGCTCATACAGATCAGTTATAAAATCCCCCAGGAGGAATAATAATACCAGGTATGAATGGTGTTATAGTGTCTGCTGGTTGTAGAAACTGCTGTGGCGTACCATCCACATGCACATCTTCTTAAGCTAAATGTTTTGTAACATCCTATGTAAGAATCAACAGAAACACTGGTGCCAATTTAATCAATAAAAGTCTTATAGTGTTGAGTTTTATTATCTCCTGTTTAAAGGACACAAACCTCGTTGAGGATTTTGAAGGATTCCTTCATGGCGTTTTTGATCTTCGCTTCTCCTTTAACGTGCAGCTCCTCCACCAGCATCTTAAAGTGCTGCGAGAGAGAGATTACACAGAATATACAGATTATACAGAATATACAGATTATACAGAGTATACAGAGTATACAGATTATATTGTAATGACATGAAGATGGTTTTATTTGTCCAGCTTTTAAGATATTTGTCCAACACACATAATGGAGGGGAAGGGGTTTTTATTTTTGGTTTAAAAAGCACAGAGAAATATCATTTCGTGGTGTTCACGCCGCCAATAGACACAATTAGCTGGTTATTACAGCAACGTCCTGTTTATGACAACGATAGAACGAGATGGTGGAGGCCATGGTCGGAGCTGTGTTTGTTCTGTGTTGTGGGTTTAATGGTTAATAATGAATTTGGAGTATGTGGTTGAAAGAGGAAGAAAAAGGAGAGCTACGTTTGTGCAACAACTGGCAGAACTTCATGTTATCGAGGGTGAGAGAAAAACACAGCGCTGCATTCAAAGGAGACGCTAACTAACTTTAACGTTGTCTTATTGTAGTTTTCTGGCATGTAAACAAAATATTTCAGGGGAAATACAACAGTGTAAAGCAACCCTAACCCAGTCTTACAGGATACCTTTTGTAAGTATATATCTTATCTATCTAAATCTATCAACTGAAATATGAACTTAAAATAAAACAAAAATCTAGCAGAAATGTCTTTAGTTTTAGTTTTTGTCAGTTTGGTCAAATTTGTCAACAGAAGCATCAGGAGGCGTTGGAGCTTAAGTTTATTGAGACTTGGATGTCTGCATGAGTCTGAATCCCTGACAAATATATCTTATTATAACTAACACTGAAACTAGGGATGTCCCAATCCAATTTCAACGATTGACGCCGATCATTTCTTAACTGATTGGTATCGGCTATATCGAGCTTTATTGACCCGATCTGATCTTTTGTTTAACGTCAGCTGTCACACAGCTGTTTTACTCATCGACTCTCTTCACTGTTTCTGTCCTCCACTCTGCTCTGTGTGTCTGTGTGACATTTATTTCTTAATGCAATGCTGAGCTACGTAAATGTCTACCATATACATTGGATTGATTTGAATAACTTTAATGTATTAATACTTAATGACTCGGATTGGATCGGGACATCTCTAACTGGAACTGATCAAAATTAAACCAAAACTAAAAATTTTTAAACAATTAGTCAGGAAACTAACTGAAACTAAACTGAATTGAATAAAAAATAAAAAACTATAATAACTAAATAACTCGGACACACAAAAACAAACTGTTGACCTCCAACTGTTCTTAAAACTATTTGAAAAAGTTCCTTCCGGTCATCTTAACGTTAACCCTAAAGCAAAGTCTTAACCTTCAGTCGGCCATTTAAAGACAAACTCACGGTCCAGAGATATCCTCACCCTCTCATTGGTCCCCACAAAGATTAAAGTTCTGTACACTGCAGGAAGTAGGCCAGGAGGTCGACCTGACAATGAGGGAATTCCTGTGTGTGTGTGTGTGTGTGTGTGTGTGTGTGCTCTTTAAGCCTCCATGAAGCAGATAATGGTCTTACCTCTCTGTTGTCCAAGTCGGCCTGGACCAGAGTTCCTTTGAAGCACGGCTCCACGTACCGAACGTAGTCCGTGTACTGCACAGGGGAGGACACAGGTCCAATCAATCAATCAATCAATCAATCAATCAATCAATCAAACTTTACTTTACTTTACCACCTTTATACAGTTTACTGCAGTTTAAAGTGCTTAATAGAAGATTGAGACAAAATGATAATAAGACAGAATGGAGCCCTTTTAGTGCCGTCACATTGTTTTTTGTACGTATTGATTATGGTTTGATTACGTTAAGATTTATCTTGCAAGCCCACCTAATCAGAAATCAGCTGTCCCGGGCAGTTATTGATCGTACGTATTCAAACAGAACGTGCTAGCTAGCGTTGGTGATTATTCACAATGTTTAACTGAAAATGTAGTAAACTAAAACAGTAGTATTTAATAAAAGTTATACTAAAGTGTTGAGTCAATGGTCCAAATAAAATAAAGGAACATTGCAGATTGTAACGATATTCTGTTGCTCTTTGCAAATGCAGTTTTCCAGTATTTGATGTATTTGATGTTTCCTTCTTCCCAAAAAGATTCTGGCGACCCCCTGTGGCAAAATAAGTAATTTCCACCGCTTTGTTTCACTGACTTTAAGGGGAAACCTTGTAGCACGTTTCAATAAAGGCTCTGACTTCTTCCTCTGTCGCTGATGTAATGTGACACTGTGTGTGTGTGTGTTTCTCACAGCGATGACGTTGACGAAGTCGTTCTCTCCCAGCGTGTCCAGGATGGTGTTGATGGTGTGTTTGGCGATGGTCATCTTCAGCCCCTTCATGCTGCCGCTGATGTCCACCATGATGATGATGTCTTTGGGAGATGTGGCTGCCTGGATGTACCTGAACGCAACATGACAGTCGCTGATTACTTATTCACATATGTTACACTTTTTATTGCATTTATTAAAACAGAGTAAGATTAAATCATCCAATAAATTGAGACACAATTCAAGAAGTTCCTGTTTTTAATAGAAAAATCTCTTTTATTGGACATTAATTCATTTTAAACTCAACCATGTACTGTCTTACATACAGGACTGTATCTGCATATATAAATATATATTTAAAGAGCTAATCCTTCGTTTTTTGTGATCTTAAAAATGATTTTGTTTCAGAGCTGATCAGATGTGACTCCACATTATTGACATGAACAAGTGAAAACGTGTCAGTCGGAGTTGCAGTTTCTCCCAGCAGATGCATTACTGCAGCTTTTCCAGCTCAGCTGCAGTAATGCGGCGTGGCGGGGCGTTCAGGGACATATGCAGCTCTCTGGTATTATTTAGAAATGCATGAACAGTCACATATGGTGCCATGTGGGCTGCGGTGACCCGGCTAAGGAGCAGCTTATCGTCTTTTCCAGAGGATCAGGACTCTGGCTGGCCGCTGCTCAGCCGACACACAGCCAGCAGGACGGGCGCCTGAGACAGACTGAAACTCAGCATTACACCCGCAGTTTATCCTTTATTTGTATTGTGCTAATTTCTGTTGTTATATGGAAAATAGGCAGAGACTCTTTAAAGCAAAATATCCCAGAATTGAACAGTTAGTGAAGTTTTTAATGTTGTTTTACTGTCAGTAAAAAAAAAGTTGTTATTGAGGTTAGAGTTTGTAATTAGCATGTTAAAGGTTCCATCTGTAAGATTATAAAGCACAATTATTGTTATGTATTTGTGCATTATTCCCAGTAAGTGAACGGGTTGTAGTGTAGCTTTGTTCCTCTGCTGCCTGTGGACT